CTATATATTTACTCTTATTAGTGTAATAGCCGGGCCTCCACATTAAACTCTATGTTATAAACGTACTCTTAAGCAGTACGTAAATTAAAAACCTCTTAATAGTACGAGGAACTTATGTTTCCGAAATGGTTTTTAATGGTTTTATTAATTAATACATTTTCCATTTTACATATGAGATATTTGGACGAGGCCATTAAAAGGCCCTAGTAAAATACCAAACATTAGAGTTGGTCTAGTTCTATTAATAGAACTATATTTACTTTCCAACTTTATTTATATCTGAATACTTCGGTAGCGAGATGGCTCAACCGAATATAGGTTTCTAGGGACTATTAACGTTACCTAGTTGATCCTCCGATCAGCCAACCAGATGTGCCAGTCTAATGAAGTCTAAGTCGGTAATTCTTGATAAGTGGCAAGTTATTGGTTAAGACAATAACTAAGGACATCAAGAGTATTTTTCTTTTCTTTTTTCTTCTTTTTCTAAAGATCAGATTTTATGAGTCTCTCAGATTCGCCCCCATGAAACATACCATAGTTTCTAATAGAGCGACAACGAGCCACTAAAAAAAATCCCTTCAGCGGAAACGGTACTGAGAGGATTATATATAGGCAATGTCTCAGCCTCACAATCCCTCAGAGTATTGCTGTTTTCACGAGGCATACCTGACTTTACTAAAAGTCTCATTTCGTTTATTTATTTTGATATTTTCACGATACTTAGAATTTACCTACGCGTTTATTTACTCTAAGGCGATAATATCGCCTTGATAGCGAATCTTACCCATTTTAAAGTTAGCAAAGGTATTAATTACTTAGACTACTTGCGTCAAGGTAGATTAACTACCACAAAAAAATTCTTGTCCAAGCTAGTCCTTAAGAGATCAGCTAGCAGTCATAAGTTAAGATTATGACCAAGAAAGACAATACTCCTTATAAGAAGCGTAGAGCTGAAAAGAAGAAGTTGGAGAAAGAAACCGCTTCCGCTGCTGATGTGTTTAACCGCACTGTAGCCGAAGCACTTGCCTCCATAATAGTCAACAGGACAATGCTTCAGAAAAGGATGTAGCCACTCCGATTAAAGAGACTACTCCCATTGACAGAGCCCGAGGGCCAACTATTGCCTCAACTTCAAAGCTTGCATTTACGAAGCCAAGAAGTGAGACAAGGGACACCTCTCAAGACGCCCCAACCCATTCTTCTGACGAAACTCAGAAAGAAAAGTTCCCAGTTATAAGGGAGTCCCCAATTATAGGGGACAAGGACAAATCTCAGAAGGAACTTATACAAATGACAAACCCGAATTTATGTCCGAGACTACCAAGCTAACGCGTATAAGTAAGTTAATTACTGAAACCACTGATCTTAAGAATCAGTTAACTACCCTTATGAAAGACTTGACTGTTGAACATGTAGATCGATTGTACAGATCCGGAAAACATACACAGCACTTACGCGAGCATGTTTTTCCGGGCATTACTGAAGCCCTACCGAAGTGGACAGAATATCGACAGGCAATTACGCATGAAGAACGTAAAGACTCGAGCGCTACACCTGTGGCATATGAGCCAGATTTGCTCAGCGTATCTATACCTTACGAGGTACTACCACCAGAACTTCAGGCTAATTACTCGCCTGTTCTGAAACCCGACCGTGAATCACCCGTCCTTGAGGGTATTATAGACCCAGAGGCAGGTAGAAATACTCCGCCACTTTTACCCAATTGGGATGACAATCGTCGGAAACCAGTTAAGACTGGGTATGTTGTGCCGACGCACAGTGTGGGTATGACATGTACCAATTGACCCCTAACGGTTATTGGAATGGCAGGCATGCCTCCACCTGTACAAACTTTCTTATTAGCTATCACACTAAGTCTTGTGACAAAAAACCCGACATTAAGTTGGAGTGAAAGTACTACCAGGTACAATCGTTACACAGTCAATACAACGACTCTTTAGATGAACGTGTAATAATCCCTGTATACTGCAATGGAAATAAAATCCTTGCATTGATTGACCCTGGTTCAGAAATTTCATGTATATCCGATCGCTTTGCATTAATGAAAGATATCGAAAGGAGAACACAAACAACTCACCTCATTTTAGCCGATGATAAAACTTCTAAGTGTGATACCATGGCCACAGATGTTAAAATCTCCCTGGCCGATGATAGGAGTATCACTACCCAAGCTGTGATAGTTAAGATGTCACAGAAGTACGACATTATAGTCGGAATAAGCGATTTACTCACTCTAGGTATAACCGTAACTGGTCTACCAAATCACATAGATCCATTAAAGAATCAGTCACACGATAGCTGTCGAATCCATATAAGCCCCCGTCAGACACAGTCAAGGCATTAATACCTGACTTTGCGAACAAAATCATGGACCTGATTCTAGTTGATAAGAAGATAAAGATCACAGATTGGGCAAAATTCCGTTTTAACGACGGGTATGTCAGCCTTGACTTAACCAAGGTGGACTTTACACAGTTAAAGTGTCCCTCAAGGAACTATGTATTCTGGAGACACGAGGCTGTGGTAAAAGAACAAGTTGAGAAATGGCTAGCAGATGGAGTGATAGAAATTAACTATCAACAGACGCCAGTTAACTTGGCACTGCTAGCCGTAGACCAACAAAACTCTGACGGATCGTTTAAGAAAGTCAGAGTATGTTTAGATATAAGTCCAATAAATAAATTATTGCCGACTCCTAGCTTTCACTTACCTCGTATTAACGAGCTACTGCGAAGGATGGAAGGTGCTACAGTATTTACAATTATAGACCTTACACATCAAATGCAGGTATATGAACCACATAGTAAATACTTTAGTTTTACGTGGAAAGAAAAACAATACAGGTTCAGAGGTGCACCTTTCGGGTTACACTCTTTACCAGCATTCTTCCAACAAGTAATGGAGGAAATGTTTGCAGACATGCCTAACGTGCAAGTCTATATAGATGACATATTCATCTTTTCTAAAACTAACGGCGAACACGCCGCATTAGTCAGACGAGTCCTTAAGAGACTCAACGAGCAAAACTTCAAGATTAACGAGAAGAAATGTCACTTCGCCATGAGCGAAATACAGCTCTTAGGCTACCGAATATCTGGGGAAGGTATTAAAATCAACCCCGGTAAGGTAGAACACCTGTTAGATTGGCGAACACCAACTACAGGAAGAGATGTTAACAGCATGTGTGGGTTTATAAACTTCTTTTCAGATGGAGTACCACACTTGGCTGATTACCTTAAACATTTTGGACACTTGAGATATCAGAAAGGCAAACTAGGAGACTTGTGGACTAAAGAGTGTGTTGACGCATTTAAAGCGCTCAAACACGCAGTCCAGCAAGCCCCTGTTGTACAAGGACCAGTCGATGGCGTGCCGTTTGAAATAGCAACGGACTCCTCCGACTTAGCCTTAGGAGGAGTATTTTATCAGGTTATAGATATCAAACCTAGATATATACAATTCTTTAGTCGAGCAATGAATGCTTCACAGTTGAATTATCCAACTGTTAAACAAGAGCTATTAGCCATAGTGGCAGCTCTAACACACTTCCGAGATTACTTATACGGAACAGCATTTTCGCTGATGTGTGATCAGAAATCTCTTCAATATATGAAAGAGATGAAACCCGACTCACAATTACTGAGTCGCTGGCATGATACAATATCAAAGTTCCATTTTGATATAAAACATCTGCCAGGAATACATAACCATATACCGGATATGATATCACGCTTCGTACCGGACTTTAATAAATCCGTACGTGAGTTACTAGCCATTGACTGGAAATGTAACCCCAGGTGGTTTGAACTGGCTCAAAAGATATTTGGGCCACATACCATAGATATGTTTGCTGCACATCATAATGCACAACTATCGAATTACAGGACTTTAAATCATCCTTTGAGAGACACGTTTCAAATAGACCTCTCCAAACATAATGCGTGGGCTAATCCACCATGGCAGTTAATTGCCCAGCTATTAAGTTATGTTCATATACATAAAACTACCATCACGTTGTGTTGCCCATTACGGAGTAAAGATCTATGGCTCAATAAATTAATAAGCATGATACAATGCGAGCCAATATATTTAGATAGGGAAGTAGATACATTCCTATATCAATGTACCCGAGCCGTCCAGAAGACGCCCTGGAGACATACTATAATATGTTGTATAGGTCCCATTGGAACAACCAAATGGGCCCCTTCTGAGACCTTCCTTAACAAGGTCAAAGAATAGGAGATTCCACTCTCTACCCAATTGAACGTTGAGCAGTTCAAAGGCAACACAGCACTTGAAGTCTGTGCACAAGAAGTACAATCTACTAATGACACTACTGTTAAGAAGCGTCAGTCTCTAGCTAGGACTCTGTTTAATAACATAAAGTCCAAGCCCGAGGTCTTTCAAACGCTATTTCTAAAGGGATTAATGAAAGACAATCCTGAAGCGTATACACACATAATGCGACTATT